GCCCGGCCCCGGGGGGCAGCCCCGACCCGGGCCGGCCACGGCGCCCGCGGCTGCCCCCGTCCCCCGGAGGAGGTCAAAAACGGCTCTTTCCAAAACAATAAACTTTTAATGCTAAAGCAGTTATAACCAAAAGCTGTACAGAGTTGGAATTTTTTTTTTGCTGTTTGGTTTTGTTTTGTTTTTTTTTTTTTTGTTAGAAAACAATTTTTTCTCCCCCATAAATATTCTTCAGTTCCCGGCACTTTGTATCAATAATTAAATTACGAACGATAAATATGGCATCATGGATATGTATTTACAAAAAAAGTTATTACAAAAAGGCAACTGTTATACTAAACGTCACAATCTGGGTAGAATAAACACCACATCCTCATCCTGAAAAATACTGACCGACCCCATCAGACGAGAATACATTCACAAGTGTAATGCTTGGAGAGAGAGAAGGAGAAAGAGGAGGAGAGCAGAGAAAGGAGCAGCAGGAGAGCTAGAGAGGAAAGTTCAAGACATAACAGGACTTTGGCACGGTTTAAGACTGTAAGTTTAAACAATCACCACTAAGGCGAAGGAGAATTTTCATCCTCATGTCAACATCCCACCGAAAGAAGGAAAAACAAAACAAATTAAAAATAAAAAAAAAAGTGGGGAATCGGAGGAAGAGGGACTGGGTCAGGGAGGAAAAAAAAAATATCAAAGAAACGACTGCGACTGCAAAAAATGACGACAACAACAAAAAAAAGAAATCCAATCCTGAGAAAAGGACATGGCTAGTCCAGCGTCTGGGCTTGCAAAAAATAGTAATAATTATAATATAATAATAAAAGACCCCCCCCTCCGGATCCTGGCAGTTAACTAGGTGTAGCCCTATGCGGTCGTCAGTGTGGAAACTCCATTTCCGTGGGAGCGAGCGGCAGTTGGCTTGATTTGTCCTTTTTTTTTTTTTTTCCTTGTTCCCAACGCATTTGGTCCAGTCTCTGGCTGGGCAGCAGCTGCCTTCACACATACCACTCATTAAAATTGGGGGGCAGTCCAGGGTTGTGGCCGGGGTTACTCTGAAGGGCGGCCGGCGGCGTTTTAGTGGAGTCCTTACTGCCGGCGGAGCCCACCGCGGGGGGGGTGGAGGACTCGTACCCCGAACTGGCTGCAGGGGAAGAGTCCGACCCCTGGGATTCGTGCACCTAAAAACAAGAGGCAGAGATGGGAGCGAGCTCGGGGTCCCCGCCACCCTGCTGAGCCGGGCTGGGATGCTCCCCCGTGCAGGAGGGACACTGGGGTCCAGCGGCTCGGCCACTGCCCAGCAAGCAGGCGGTTCATGCCTTGCCGGCCACCCCGAGCACCAGCGGCAAACGCCTGCCTCGGCTCCCGGCCACTTCACTGCAGCATCCCGGCATGGGGGGCTGCAGCGTCCCGGCGTGGGGGACTGCAGCCACAGGCCAGGTTGCATTGACACAGCCCTCCAGCACCGAGCCACGCACTGGAAACCGGGCAGCGCTTACACCGATGGGAGCACAAAAAGAAACTGCGCCATTTCCCCGAGCCGTGCTCCAGCCACGGCCTAGACACCGGGGACCACTCGGGCCATGCCGGGAGCACGGAGCACTGCGGCAGGCACCGCTCGGCTCTGCCCTGCCCCGGGAAAACGAGCCCTGAGCACGCCAGCGACTGAGCATCGCTGCTCGGGGAGAAAAGGGCTGGGGCGCAGGGGTGATTACCTTCATGTGTTTCCTAAGTGAGCTGGGGTGGGTGTAGGATTTGTCGCACACCTTGCAGATGTAGGGCTTGTCCGAGGTGTGGACGTGCATGTGTTTCTTCCTGTCGCTGCTGTTGGCGAAGCGCCTGTCGCAGCCCTCAAACTCGCACTTGAAGGGCTTCTCACCTGTGAAATTCAGAGAGGGTGAAGGAGGGCCGTTCCCCTCTCCATCCCCGCCTGCCTCCTCCCAGGACCACCTCTGCCCCATTCGCCCCACCTTGGGGATGCACAAGCACCCCAAAAAAATGAAGAAGGGGAAGGTGGACAGCCGGGTTTGCTACGTGTCGGATAAATTCAGGTCAGCCTTTGTTACTTTTAATTCGCCTCCCACCAGACCCGTGCCGGGCTCCGGCGGGGACAGCGGCCGGGCGAGCCCGGGGAGGGAGAAGACCCGAGATAAATTCAGCGGCTCGGACAGTTTTACAAAACGTATTCAAGCAGAGAAGCCAAAATGCGTTTGCTTCCTGCCTTCCCCCCCTCTCCCCTCCAGCCGGGCGGAGGGCTGAAGGGGAGACGGGGCTGCAAACAAAAATACTTTGACAAAAGTATCGCTGATTTAATTAGGAGAGACGCCAATCAGGCCTAAAAATAAAATAAAAAGGAGCGGAAGTCACCGAAAATGAGGTTTCATTAGCATTTCTATGGTTCCCTCCGCAGAGGCGCGCAGGGGGCCGAGAGCGGCGGCAGCGCTGCGGCGGCGGCGGCCCCGGCCCCAAGCCCAGGCCCCGGCGCGCAGCCCCGCGGAAGGGGTGCGCCCCCCCGGGGGGGCCCACGGGCCTTACCTGTGTGCGTCCGCTTGTGAATCTTGAGGTTCTCGGAGCGGGCAAAGATCTTGCCGCAGCCCGGGAAGGGGCAGGGGAAGGGCTTCTCCCCCGTGTGCACCCGAATGTGGTTCACCAGTTTGTATTTCGCCTTGAAGGACTTGCCTTCCCGCGGACACTCGTCCCAGTAGCAGATGTGGTTGTTCTGCTCCGGCCCCCCGACGTGCTCCATGGTGACATGGGTCACCAGTTCGTGCATGGTGCTGAAAGTCCTGTCGCAGCTCTTCTTGGGCCGGCTGAGCTGGCTCTCGTCGAGCCATTTGCAGGACAATTCTTGCTTGATGGGCTGGCGCATGTACCGAAAGAAAGCCCCGGGGCCGTGGTGGTGATGGTGGTGGTGGTGGGCCGCCACGTTCATGCCCATATTCATGTTCATGTGGTTGTAGTTGTGGAACTGGGCGCCGGCGTAAGGGTCCGTGCGGGGGCTGGAGACGGCCCGGTAGGGATCCGGTCGCCCGAAGAGGTCCCCGCGCAGCCCCAGGTGCATCTGCCCGTTGTCCACATGCCCGTTGGGGGACGTGTGGCTCGGGCTCTGCTCGTGGAGCCCCGGGAAGAGCAGGTAGCCCGGGGTGTCCGGGATGCCGCCGGGGCCGTGCAAACCGCCGGGGGAACCGCCGAAAAGCCCGTGTTGCGCCGTACCGGAGGCGGCGTCCGCGATACCGGAGCCGCGGTTGCGAAAGAGAAACTCGCGGGTGGAGTTGAAGGCGGCGGCCCCGCCGTAGGAGGGCACCCGGGCGGCGGGGGGGGGGGGGGGGGGGGCAGCCCCGTGGCGCAGGACCGGCGCCGGTGCCCCACGCAGCGTGGATGACTAGACACCCGGGGCTGGGGGAGCGGGGGGCGGGCGCCCGG